CTGTAGTCACACACCTAACACAGGCAGGGAGAAGAGCGAGCTGGTGCCTGAAACCAGTTTCCACTCTGCCACCCATTTAAGCTGTGTGATCGTGGGCAGGTTATCAAGCCTCTCACACAATGTCTGACACCAAATAAGCAGCATGCTAATATGAGAAGACTGTTACTAAGTAGTACTATTTGGTTCCTAGTTGATAATTTCATTGTAACTGATTCAACTTCCACTTAAACTGTATTTTACTGGGTGCCTACTTTATCCCAGGCGTGACCAGAACCCGGCAGGAGAGCAGTGAGTACGATGGCGGCCCTGAGGGAGAAGGGCTGTCCCTGGCAGGCAGTGGACCTGCAGAAAGAAGGCTGGAGACAGCCCCGGGGAGGAGTGGACGGTGGCGCACCCACCCTAATGAGGGGAGGGCCCGCCGTGCCAGCAACAGCGGAGGAGCACAGACGGCAGCTGAGCATAGAGTTCAAAGGCACTAGGGACAACCCGCTTGGCGTGTTCACAAGCCAGTGTGGCCAAGGTTGAGCAAGTGAAAAGTTGGAAAAGACAAAGGCAAAGAGAGAAATGAGACAAGAGCTATTCTGTTCAACAAGGCAGGCAACAGAGAAGAGACCATCAAATGAGATCCCAACCTGAGTACCTACGAAAACTGCAACTTCAAAGAGACCACAGCTGCTCGAGTGAAGGCAGGGGAACAGGAGGTGGAGAAAAGACCAAGAGGTGACCACAAACTTGCAGTGAGCTCCAGGTGAGTGGGGCCGGGGCAGGGGGTGGGGGGAGCTCCTGGAAGTTTCTGAGCGGGAATGGTTTACACATTTCTTTGGATGTTTACATTTTAAAAGATTTGTTCACAAATTCTGTGAGCTCAACCTTAGAACGTATCTCGGTATAGCTGCTTCTCGCTCCTCCAAGTACTACTCTCCTGGTCTGTCATCTTCGGTGACTTTTTCCTGGGTTATTGCAGTAACCTGTTCATTGGTTTCCAGAGTTTATCCAAGTAAAGTGTGAATTTAATGCCAAAGGCACAGGTCTAGGGAGGCTAGGACGAGGTCAGTGGAGCAGCCCCAAATATCAAAGTCAGCAGGAGAAGACAGTGATGGTCAGTGAAGAAGGAGAAAAACCTTCACCATAAGAGAGACTGGTATCCAGGAGGCTGAGTGAAGAAAGCACGCTTGGTATCCACACGGGCTTGGTTCCAGAACCCCGCAAACACCGAGATCCCGAAATGCTCGTGTAAAATGGTACAGTGTGTGCACGAAAGCTGCACAACTTTGCACAAACTCTCATACACTGAGAGCATCAGGATTATTTACAATGCAATATACAATGTAAATGCTATGTAACCAGTTGCTGGCACAGTAAGTTCAAGTTTTGCTTTTTGGAACTCTCTGGAATCCACCCTCCCCCACCCCTGCCACACCCAGAATTCTGGATCTGTAGTTGGTTGAAGCCTGGCTCCCCGGCTGCAGAACCAGGGAACCCACAGACCCCGAGGGGCAGCTGTGCTTAGACAGAAGTAAGTGACTGTTTGTAGCCAGCAGGTTCTGCAGAGGGCAGACTGGACGGTGAAGGGTCAAGAGCCCATCAAAGCCAGGCCATCAGGAGGCTGGGCCTTTTCCTTTGAACCATAAACTACTTAGAAACATGTTTTTAAGTTGCTTAATATACAGTTATGTGCAGGATCCTGTATTTCTACATTAGAGAAAACAGTTCAATACATAACTTAAAAACTACTGTTTACTTACTATTGTTTGTGGTCTTCCCTCTAATTATTAGAAAGGTATGTCTTATTCCTTTAAGACTAGTTCTGCTTTATATATTTTGAGGAATTTATAAGTTAAACAGCTACATCTGTTTCTATACTTATTAAATTCTTGGTGAAATGAACGTTTTACTGTTATGTGGTTGCCCTCTACATTTATAATAAATCTTGTTTGCCTGAAAATTTATTTCACAGGGTGTTAGCTGCACAATACTGATCTTTCTTTTTCCTGGTTATTATTTGCCTGGTATATTTATACTCAAGTTTTATGTGAGTTTTTCAAATTGAAAGTCAGAACTCATTAGAAGGCAGGAAATTTTTTTTCACTATTCATTTATTAATTTATTTTACTAACGTAGAACAAAACAGAACATTGAAGAGAAAACCTTTAGACCTTAGTGTAAATAATAATGCTGAGTAGTTTGGTAAAATGTGTAGATTCGGGACATATAAACAGCTCTGAGATACACATACAGGTATATACGTGTGCTAGATCTCACGGTAAAATACATTATTTCCTGCAAGTAAAAGAAAAATGTTTGAATGTCACTGTTTTGGATATATCCTGTGAACAATAGATAGGCTTGATGTTATGTATTAATCCACTCTAGTAACCTCTGACAATCATTCACTGTTAGCATCTGTGCATCTCACTTGTGATTTCTATTCATCTTGCTTCCCCACCCTTCTTCTCTGTTTCTTTCCTTCTTTTTGATCCCTACATTTCTCTAATATCTACTTGCCCAATAACCATTTAGCTTGTACTTCTAATGTTGGAGCTGGTTACCCTCATATTTAGCTGACAAAGTTTTATTCTATAGCCCCTGTTCCAACCTGCACTGAGCTCTATTTTTTTTAGTATAAAAAAATCTGTTATCATTAGTTTTCTTTCATGAAGCCAATGCTCACTGATATCTGTTCTTGAGGTAATATAACCATGCAAACAAATATAGGCTGCCAGTTACATTTTCTTACCACTTTGAACATATTATACCACCATTTTCTTGGCATCAGTGATGCTGTGAGAAGTCTAATTTTTCTCTGCTTGTTTTTAACATCCTTTCATTTTCTTCTGTACAACACTATTTTGCTATAATCTGCCAAAGTATGCATTTAGATTTACCCAATTTGAGATTTTTCTGTTAATCCTACATTTAAGGACTCATGTCACTAGAAAGTTCTCAGCTATTTTCCCTTCAGATTATTTCCTCTTCCTCATTCTTTTTATTCTCTTATTCAGAGTTCCTGTTAGAAAAGGGCTGACCTTCTCATTCTTCATGTTACATAAATCTGTTTTCATAATTTCCATCTGTTCATCTGTGTGCTATGTTTTGGGCAAATTTTCTCAGATCCATCTTCCTGTTTACTGATTTTTCAGCTATGTCTAATCTGCTGCTTTATCTATCCAATGACTTTCAGAACTTCTGTTTTGTTCTTTTTCAAGTCTGCTTGATTATTTTAACAGCCTCCTATTCCCACTAATATATTAGAACAGTTTGTATTAATCCTCATGCTCCTGAAGATACCACACATGTATCACCTGTATCTCTGATCACGTTTTCTTCTTTCATCACCTCTACCGACAACCCATGCACCTTCACTCATCTCATAAGCCTAGCTACACTCTGTTTTGAAGATCACATTATTCCCATTGAGATGGGCATGTTGATTTTAAAAACCTATATGGTGAAGTCGGATAAAATCCAAATAGAAACTGTGCCACAAACTATGTGAATGCAACTTAAACCCATTTAGTTGTGCCTCTGTCTTCATCTACAAAATGAGGATAACAAGTCATTACATCCTAGGGTTTGGGTAAAGGAAATACAGAGTTTACAAATTATAAACAGCATATAGCTGGCACCGTGCATGGCTCCTAACAGCCACTCGATGGTGACAACACATCACTGTCATCATCTTCACCCCTCATTCGAGGAGGGTCAGTCACATTTTCCTTACTTATGACGATCCAGGCTCCACTAAACAAAACAGTGCCTACATCCTTATTATTAAGGTTAAATAAGCTGGCTTAAAAGAATGAAAACAAAGCCTATATACCCCAGGATCTGCATTCAACAATTTACTGAGCACTAAGACTACTGCTATAATGAATGCTGCCTCTGAGATGTCTACATAAATTCGGAAGGTTAACAGAATTGTTTTAATTAAAAATACCTAGATATATTTTCAGGTAACTTTTAGATATTCTTAGTTTTTAAACACTTGTTTAATTAACTGACCAAATAGATGGAAGTCAAATCTTTTTCAGCCATTGTTGAAAAGCAACCAAACTATATTCTTACTGACTATTTTGTTAGGTCCCTTCCAGCTACTTGACAAATTTGAAAATTATATTTCTCTGATAAGCTGTAGTTGGGACAGTATTTTTATTCAACTAAAGATTTATTCACCTAAACATGTTTGTTTTTCTTTTTAAAAGTCTAATCTTATCTATTTAGATCCTTGAACTGAAAGTTACTGACATCTGAATGCCTTCTTTACGCTACAATCATCTTTATTTCTGCAGCATTATCTATAAAAACAGGGGCTCCTGTGGAAGAGCTCCCTTATGCTTCTCTCAAATGTTAAGTGTTTTAGGTGTACAATTTCCTACAAACACCATGGTTTACTTAAAAGTGAAAAAAAATTATTAGGAGAGAATCAGGGAAAGGACAATTATAGGGACTTCTTTTATCTCACCTTGAATGATTTTAGTTTCATTAAAGTCAGTATGACTTCACTGAGATCACTTCCCAGCATCAATGCTGTATGTGAACATCACACAGACACCGACCCTTTAGGTGAGCTGCAATCACTGGGCATGACAGAGTGAGCTCTGTAGCACATTAATACGGTCATCAGGTGTGTGGTTTGGTCTCCAGGCGCGAAAGGATGCCAGCAGCACAGGAAGTAAAAGCACTAGGACTCGGAAGTGCTCAGAGCAGGGGCTGGACAGAGCAGCACTGGCAAGAGCAGGGTGAGGAGCAAAAGACCGTCACAAAAGAATGAAAGCAATCAGACGGCTCAAGCAAGTCCACGTCAGGGGTGCCCGAAGACGGGCTACACCCACGTGCATCAGAGAGTGCTGGTTAACAATTACCGGCCACCTCTATGTGTACAGGAGTCCCAGTGACCATCAGTGAGAAAATTAAACATAGATAATCAACCTCTCGTGTGTGTTTCTAATATGCAAAACAAATCACGTCCGAGTCACCCCAAAGTAGGTTTGTAATCTTACTTCCACTCCTCTGGTGGGTGGGCAAGTTCATACTTCTCCCTCACATTGGAGACACCCATATCCAAATGGAGCCAGTGAACCTCCTCTGACCGCAGGTGACTCAGGCGAAATCCATAGCAGGCCACGTGCTTTACTTTGTGACTGTCCACTATCTTCTGAATGATGCCCTAAAACATACCCCCCACAGAAATGACTGTTATAAACAAAAACTGCATGCTAGAAAATAATGCAATGTTCATTTCTTTCAGTTAATCATCAGAAATCTTTGGTAAAAAGAGTATCAATTTAAATAAATCACTTAATTTTACTTAGGAATCTTTTTTCACAAACAGTATTTTTATGAACAAAGAAAAATGTTTTTAAAACCACAAGAAGAGGCACTGCCCCTTTTCTTTACTGATTTCTGCAGCTCCACCACTGCATCACCCCAACTCATCCACACACACGGGCCACCCCTTGGGGGGCTTCCTAAGAATGAGACCTGGGGAGGGTTATACTTTCCAAACCAACAGTACTGCTGAGAACAAGCTGCAACCTTAGTATCATTACACATTTAGGAATACATAATTAAGGTCACGTTTCTGATAATATTGATGACATACAGGAAGCTACCTCAAGTTGGGCCTAACCATCTGCTCTCTACTGGTTAATACACAGCAATCCACAAGAGCTCCCAACCTAATGCTTCCAACATGTGTGTCCATGAGCTCAGAGGAGATGAGGGCAGCCTCTGAAGGAGGCCATCAGGGAAGGCCCCCTAGAGAAGGCGGCATTTACCCCGCGCTGTGGCAGTCGTGTGCACACGTCCGTTAAGTGGGCAGCACACATGGGGAGGCCCACTTGGGAATACGAAGGAAACCACATGCCGTCCTTCCAGGAGGGCGTGTGAGTCACAGTCCACTGCACTCTTCTCAACCTTCTAGGCCATTAATAAGTTTTCTTAAATAATGCAGATATTAACATGAAAATGTCTATTAAAAATCAGTACTGTCTACTAGAGAAAGCACTGGTTTCTAACAATTAGCAATTAACTGAAGTTATCATATAACTTACAATGTAAAAGTTCTGCACACACTAGTATTTCTTTTCTGTGACACAATGCTGTTGGTAAAACAATTAAGGGTGTTCCCAACCCTACCCCAAAGAAGAGATAAACAGTAACGTGTACTGTATACACAACTGTCAGGGACCCAGTGCGTCCACACCACGGGCAGGGTATGTGCCGTGCTCCTGCACCTGCCGACCACCCTTGCGGACTCCTCAGCCCCCAGAATGAGGCTGTGTATGCAGCCCAGGAGTGGTGGGGGCAAGACGGAGATGGGGCACATGTGGCACCACAGAGAAAGGACCCGGCTGGAAGAGCCATCAGCAGCTTTAGGAAGAAGATGAACTCTCACTGGATCTACAGCCTACAGAACTCAGGCAGGGGGACTGAACGTGAAAATCACGTCTGACTCTTTGTGACTCCATGGACTATACGTTCCAAGGAATTCTCCAGGCCAGAATACTGGAGTGAGCAGCCTATCCCTTCTCCAGGGGATGTTCCCAACCCAGGGATCAAACCCAGGTCTCCTGCATTGTGGGTGGGTTCTTTACCAGTTGAGCTATGAGGGAAGGGGGACTGGGATGAACATAAAGCGTCCCTCTGGCTTCTGGATTCAGGGCCGCTGTGATCGACGGTGCAGGCCGAGCACTACCAGAGAGCGTCCTGTGGGGTGCTGGGGGAACTGGGAGGACAGAACCCAGATCCAGCCCCGAGCTCGCCTGCAAACCTGTGCTCTGGGGTGTGAACTCTGCCTACAGAAGGGACATCTTTTTCTGCTAATTCTCTGAAAGGCGACTTGTGCAGCTTCTCCCTGACAACATCCAAATCCCTGGGCTGCAAAGGACAGGAGCTGGCGCCTCTTTCAAGCTCCCACAAAAGCGCCTTTGTCTCCTGCTGCCGCTCTGCCAGCTCACTACGGAGAGCACACAGACTTGTCACCCGGCCATCCCCCCTTGACTCCATATCCCCCAGCAGCAACAGCTCCAGAGCAACCCAGCTCCTGTGAGGGCTCCACACACCTGCGTCTCTCATCCTGTTGCAGTGCTCCTGGTCAGGCGATCCCTCCACGCCCAGATGCAGGGTGTAAGGCAGGGTGCTAACCATTCCCTACCCTCGTGCTTGCCATCAACACCCCAGGAGGAACCCCAGCTTCTCTGGGTGTCTGCCTTGGTGACCTCTCTCACAGGTTACCCTCGTGTCTCTGACTCGTGGGCACACACTGGAGCCCACCTGCAGAGAAGCGATGTAAATTACAGGGATTTGGTCCAAAAAATGTGGTGCTGACTAGGGGGGAAAGTAGGTTCCTAGTCTTGAGGTCTTAATGGAACAGACAGTATTTCCATCAGTTCACTCGATCACACTGCCAGAAGACACCAGAATAGTATCGTCTGGGTTTGTGTAACCAGAGTCCCCAAACTGTAGGATCTGGTACCTAAACCTGATCCTAAAGTTAACAATTTCACTGTCCACTTAAAAAAAACAATAAACACAGACATTTCCTTTTATTTCGCTTTTCGCTTTCCCATTATGCTTCCATATTGATTTCGGTTCTAATTCTCATTCTCCAGGACTCTGAGAAATGTCACTTCTCAATCCACAGGGACAGCAGCCAAGACTGTGAGTATAGGAGGCACTTAAATACTTGATGCTGAATGCACATAAGTCCTCAGTAACAAGCAATTCTGAGAGCCAACTATTCGGTCTGGATAACTGAACAAATAACTTGAGAACTAAATACTTAAACACTACCACATCCACAAAACCCACACATACGTCAGTATATGTGTGTATGATTTCTGGAATACCTATCTTTAGCAAAGGGACTGTCTCTAGGGCACTGACAGGATGAGGGCTTTTAATATGCCACTCATGGGATTCAAATTAAATTTCTCATCCTGGCTTTAAAGGCTCATGATAAACCAGTCCTACAATACACAAAACAATACTTAGCTACTTTGTAACCTCTGTTGACTCATTTATATCACAGCCCAGGCCTTGGAAATACATAAGTTTTCCTGACTGAATTCTCACATTAGCTATTCACAGGATAGGATTCTTCCCAAATTTGAAAATAAAAGAAGCCAGTGTCTGTATGATGCTCGCATCTCATCACAAACACAGCAATTCAGCCATTTCACTGCTGGGGGAGGGTTATTTTCTTTTTTAGCTGCCCTGTTTTGGAGCAAAATGGGGATGGAAGTGCAGGTAATCCTGCCACAAGCACCATTCCAGCTGTCGTCACACACATGTACAAGTGCTGCTTAGAAACAGATGTGCAGAGTCAAGAGCTACTGACAATGTGACATTTCGATAAGTACAGACAAACTGCACATCAACAAAACTATACCAACTACAATGGACAACATTACAGACTGTCCTTCATCTCACGCCAACACTGGATCTGAAAATGTTTATCCATTCATCTGTCAGTGGACATCTAGGTTGCTTCCATGTTCTAGCTATTGTAAATAGTGCTGCAGTGAACAATGGGATACATGTGTCTTTTTTCATTTTGGTTTCCTCAGGATTATATGCCTAGGAGTGGGATTGCTGGGTCATATGGTGGTTTTATTCCTAGTTTTTTAAGGAATTACCATACCGTCTTCCATACTGGCTGTATCAATTTACATTCCCACTGACAGTGCAAGAGCGTTCCCTTTCCTCCACACCCTCTCCAGCATTTATTGTTTGTAGACTTTTTGATGATGGCTATTCTGACCCGTGTGAGGTGATACCTCATTGTGGTTTTGGTTTGCCTTTCTCTAATAATGAGTGATACTGAGCATCTTTTCATGTGTTTGTTACCCATCTATATGTCTTCTTTGGAGAAATGTCTGTTTAGGTCTTTTTCCCACTTTTTGATAGGGTTGTTTTTCTATCGAGTTATATGTGCATTTTGGAAATTAATCCTTTGTCAGTTGTCTCATTCGCTATTATTTTCTCCCATTCTGAGGGTTGTCTTTTCACCTTGCTTATAGTTTCCTTTGTTGTGCAAAAGCTCTTAAGTTTAATCAGGTCCCATTTGTTTACTTTTGTTTTTATTTCCGTTACTCTAGAAAGTGGGTCATTTATAAAAAGGAATGCATTTGAGTCAGTTCGGTGAGGTAGATGAACCTAGAACCTATTACACAGAGTGAAGTGAGTCAGAAACAGAAAGATAAATATCGTATTCTAACGCACATATACAGAATCTAGAAAAATGGTACTGAAGAATTTATTTACAGGGCAGCAATGGAGATACAGACAGAGAGAATAGACTTATGGACATGGAGAGAGAGAAGGAGAGGGTGAGATGTACAGAAAGAGGAACTCAGAAACTTACATTACTGTATGTAAAATAGACAGCCACCTGGAACTTGCTGTGTGGCTCGGGAAACTCAAACAGGCACTCTATATCAACCTAGAGGGGTGGAAGGGGAGGGAGATGGGAGGGAGGTTCAAAAGGGAGGGGATATATGTATACCGACGGCTGATTCATGTGGAGGTTTGACAGAAAACAACGAAATTCTGTAAAGCAATTATCCTTTGACAATAAAAAGAAAAAAGAAATTCAGGAAGGCAAGTGTGTAGTCTGAAGATGAGAGAAGAGATGGGTTGAAATAGCTAAAAAATAAAGTTAAGGACAACTAATAAAAGTAATTACAGTATTTTAAGGGGAAAAACTGGTGGTTTGAATAAGGGGACTAGACACAACAATGGACAGAAATAAATGTACTTTAAAAATATTTTGGAGGTAGAATAACCAAGACTTGGTGACCTTGAGAAGACAGCCAATATGAGGATAAAGGAAAGGAGATGAGTGCATTCTGCCTCAGACAGCTAAGTAGATGTTTACGTCACTCAGTGAAACAAAAACTCACGTGAAGACGGTGTGGAAACAGGACAGCAAAATGACCAGTACATTTCGATGGATTTTAGATTCAGCTTTTTAGAATATCCAAGTAGAAATGCCCAGTAAGCACTTGGTTATATGGGTTTGGAATTCAGGAAAGTATGTTAATCGATTAATCACAGGGTAGGATCAGTATACTCTTATTAAATAGGTTAAATCAGGGCATTTCTAGTCACTCATTCATTTAATAAGTATTCATTGATAGCTACTTGGTCTGAACATTCTTGCAG